AACAATAGATAGCTTGCAGCATCAGGATTTTGGATTTTTACTTGTTGTGCACAAGCCTCAGCTTAGCATGACTTTTCCAGATCTTACTATAGTCTTTTAACAGACTTAAAGCAATTATTGGGGTGCTTATAACCTTTTGTGGAGAGGACTTCCACCAGTTATCTTGGGAAAGGTATGACAACACCTGTGATTAGGGTTCCAACGGGCTGGATGTTGTGATGAACCCTTAACCATTGTTCAAATGTTGCCCATACCCCCTCTGACTCGGTCTCTTGCCTCAGCATTCCCTAATCCGGCCACCAAGTTTTAGACAATCAAGTTTAAATAGGCCTCCCATAGTGGGACCGGGGAATGTACGGCCCGAGATGCCTATTAAACTTAGAGCTGTGTGTGTGTGTCTGGGGGGGGAAAAGTCCTTAGCAAATCCAGATTAGAACTGGTCTGATAAATGCTGAGCTGGGTGTGTGTGAACATGGGTTGATTAACATTGGAAGCACAGATTAGGGGGGGGGGGAGTCCTTAGTAAATCCACATTAGAACTGGTCTGATAAATGCTGAGCTGGGTGTGTGTGAACATGGGTTGATTAACATTTGGAGCACAGATTCCCCATCATGCAGTGCTCCTCTGCTTCTCTGGTCCCAGAATTCACTGCAGTCTCTGCTTCAGGCTTTCTGTTCTCCATCTCTCATGTAAATGAATGGTCATCTGGTTCCATCTCGGATGCAAATGAGACCTAGGGCAGTTGTTTCACTCTGGTCACCCTTATCTGGAGGGTCTTAGGTGCGTCTCTCTCTGCATCTTAATCAGTTTCGTTTATGTAGAGGAGGGGAGAGAGGGGGGGTGAGTCCTTGTGAGTCAGACAGACTGCATCCTGTGCCAGGGTTGCCCAAGAACACACAGCTGAGACGTAACAACTGTTTTTATAATTTGCACTCATTCCGTCCCTTTTGACGAGCTTTAGTTAAAGCGCCCCTGCCTCTATTTTGAAGTACAGAGATACTGAATACATGAGACACGGAGGCTGCTGAATGTACAGAAACTGGAGAGCCCCTGGAGTTCATCCTGTCAACTCTTGCTATCTTAATTTAATTCAAATTGGTTACGTCTCTGATATGGTCTTTATTTATTGTAATAGTCATCCTTTCCCCTTCTTTGTTTATATTAATTTTACTATTTGTCTGTTTTTCAAGGTGTTTTTTTTGGCTTTTTTTATTGCTTTTTTTCTTGGGAAGACTGAAGTAAGAAAATTAGGCAAGGATAAGCATTGAGCAGCTCTGCCACCTTCTTTTTTTGTTGTTAATAGTTCATATTCCCAGTTGAGGGCTGGAACTGTTGTCTCCCTGTTCTTTCTTGTCATTGTTTCTATCATTTCTTTCCAGTTTAAACTTGTTTTTCTCCTTTGCTTTCCTTTGTTGTTACCTCTTCATGCTATTTCTTTTGTAGATTTCCTTAGTGACATTCTCTTCCTTCCATTGCCTATATCTATCTTCCTTTGATTTTCAGATAGCTAAACATTTACTTTCACAGCCATATCTGTCTGTGGTCACTCTTCTTATGTTTCTTCTGCCACGGAACAGCTTGAAAATGATCCTCCAATATTACATCCTTTAGGAACTACCAACCCTCATGAACAATTTTGTTGTCTTTTTATCCAGGGATAAACCTACTGTTTACCTGACTTGGTTGAAATCTGCCTTTTTTAAGTTCGATGCCTGTGTTGTGAAGCTCTTATGTCTGTCTTCCCTGAGAATCGTTAATTTTATCATGATCACTTCTTCCCATATTTCTGACCACCTTCATATACATGAGTTCATGACAGTTGCTCAGAAATAATTCCAAAATATATGACCCCCTAACTTTTTCTTCAGCTTTTCAAATGAGAGAGTTGTCTTCTACATGCATTAAAAACTTCCTGGGTATTTTATGGTTTACCATATTTTTCTTTCAAAAGGTGTCATAGAAGTTTAAAATCCAACAACATGAGTGTACATGTGTGTAGACACACCCACATATACATTCAATAAATATTCTCACACACACACAGTATATATATATATATATATATATATATATATATATATATATATATATATATATATATATATATATATATATATATATATATATATATATATATACACATACTGTGTGTGTGTTTATCTGTTTATCCCTACAAGATGCTTTCAGTAAATATTTATATTACTTATAATAAGTATTTCTGTTTGATTAATATTTGTCTTCTATTAAGGACTATTGAATTAAATTGATTTGGACCACATGTAATCAGTATGTCCAAGGTAGCCACAAATGGAAAAATGTTTATTCCAGCTATTCATATGCTGATTGACATGTCTCTTTAATATGTGCAGATTTTCTATTGAAAAAGGAATAGCTGGTCAGGTAGCAAGAACAGGTGAAGTCCTTAACATTCCCGATGCCTATGCAGATCCACGCTTTAACAGGTAAGAAACTCTTCAGTTTCAACTACAAAAAAGAAAAATCAAGACTACAAGTCTGTTACTTAATTTTCCACTCAAATTTATTAGAATATGTTAATTGAATTACAGTGTCTTGAAGAGAGACGCCTGCGATTTACTTTTTCTGCAGACACTAGTTTTATGAGCACATTCTATAAAAATAATCACAGGTTTCTTACACAAAAGAATTGAGAAGGATTTAATTATTGTTTTCTTTGATGATACTGTGGATAGCTAAGTGGACTTTGCTCACTTTAATGTTATTAAATTGACTAATATGATTAATGTGTTCCAACAAATTAAAAAATAGCTAGCCCAAAAATATTCATAAAAATATGTTCTGTGAGTTTAAGAATGAGGTGACTATTGTTTTAACTTTTAAATGGATATTATAGGAATTATGAAGTATTTTCTGAAAATGATTTATGAATTTATTTGAATGTAGAGTAAGTAAACTTTATGTAGGTACCAGTTATACTTATGTAACATTATTTGGTACAGCATAGAAAGAAGGCATGGATATTAATATTCTTTGTCTCTTCTTTCTTTCTCTCTCTCTCTCTTACACACCTCTCCAGAGAAGTAGACCTCTACACAGGCTACACAACCAGAAACATTCTGTGCATGCCTATAGTGAGCCGAGGAAGTGTGATAGGTGTTGTGCAGATGGTGAACAAAATAAGTGGAAGTGCCTTCTCTAAAACAGATGAGAACAACTTTAAAATGTTTGCAGTCTTTTGTGCTTTAGCCTTACACTGTGCTAATGTAAGTTCTAATTTAAAGCTTCATATAACATGTATTTCTTTTTTAATTCCGTCAACTACTGGTTATAATATTTATGGAGTTAGAATCAGTTTGGGATTCTACTTGTTGCACCTAATTTCCAGATCATTAAAATGACTAGAGCAAGAAGGGGCACCAGGCAATGTAGGGCCCCTGCAAGACGCAAATGGTAATCTTGTGGCTACGCCAGACAAGAAACCTGATATTTTTAACAGTTTCTTTGCCTTTGTTTTCTTAAACAGGGACTGGAATATCCCACCTACCAGAGGTTGGGACAATCTTGGGGATAGCTCTGGCAGGCCTTCAGTCAGCGCAGATGTAGTTAGGGATCTTCTGGAAGGGCTAGACGTTTTTAAATCTGTAGGTCCAGATGCCCTCCACCCAAGGGTGTTGAGGGAGCTGGCAGGGGTCATCGCGGAGCTCTTGGCCCGACTGTATGAGCATTCGTGGTCATCTGGCCAGGTGCCGGAGGACTGGAAACTAGCTAATGTGGTCCCAATTTTCAAGAAAGGGAGGAAGGAGGACCCAAGTAACTATAGGCCTGTAAACCTCACCTCGGTGCTTGGGAAGATCTTTGAGAGAATCATCAAGGAGCACATCTGTGGGGGGCCTGCAGGGGAGATTATGCTCAGGGGCAGTCAGCATGGGTTCATCAAAGGCAGGTCCTGCCTGACCAACCTGATTGCCTTTTATGACCGGGTGACTAAATCCTTGGATGATGGTGTCACCGTGGACGTAGTCTTTCTAGACTTTAAGAAGGCCTTTGACACTGTCTCTCACCCCATCCTCATCAATAAATTAAGCGACTGTGGCA